TGGGATACACTAGAGTCGCAGTTAACCATAAGGACAAAAGATAATATAAATTCGCCGTGCGATAGATTTGACCCAACTGTTTGCAGAGTATTTCGCGAGCTTATGCAATAACTTTGTTGGTCCAAAAGTCTATACTTGGTTTTATAAACACAAAGTTTATTATACACGAGTAAGCTCGTATAATCTTTAAAGTTGCCTCTATTCCAAGAGTACTAAAAATATAACTTATTTAAGACTGCTGATATGTTTAAAGGCATATTCTCGATTAAGTTACTCTGTTTTAAGGAAACAAATAATTCTCTAGAAGACCATATGAATTAGTCCCCCCCCCCAAGAGTATTAAGATGAATTTTTCGTGAGAAACGCTTAAGGGTTTGATAAGTAAAAAAAAAACCATTGTACATTTTCAAATGACTCAGGGAAAAAGTACACCGTTAGAGACAGTCGAACACTTACAAATAAAGAATGTCCGACGGCGATATTAGACGGTTTAAATTAGTCACACAACTCAATGACGAACAGTGTACGATAAAAAACATTAAATCTAAAATATGAATACTCACTAAAAGCCTAACGACAGTAAGCGCTAACGTGAGAATAAAAAGGCTTACTATTAATTACTTGAGAATAAGCTAAAAGTCAATAAACATAAAAATTATAAATTAATACTCAATTTTTTACAAATAATATCTATTATTTTTATTAATCAATTAACTAACAGGGTTATTTTTTATTATAATTCCATTATTGATATAATAAAAATAATTTTGAACATTTTCTTAAAAATTTAATAAAACGTTTGAGGTAATATTTTTTTAATAGTAATTGGCATTACGATTTTCAACATTAATTCATTTGTACATTAAACTAAAACTTTAAAGTTTCAAATTTTTGAGTTAGTATACACGTATAATGTATAAGGATTATAAATACATGTAGCTAATTCTTTTTTTACGACGTCGCTATTGACAGATACACAGCTTTTATTGTCAATTATGACTTTATCAACAAATATACTTTCTGTATTACCAGTTGGTGAATTTATTAACTCACAACAAAGTGCCTTAGTTCTATAGTCCGTGTAATTAAAAAAATAATGTGTGTAAAGAAACGTAAGAAATTGCGATATGAGGTTTTTGATTTTCCGAGTTGAGGACATGAAAAAAATAGATAAAATAAAAAACAAAATAACAATAATATTACAGTGGATCTCTTTTTTGTCGCTTCCTACGGGTTTTTATGTACCTAATAAACTCGTGGATTGTATAGAAATCGCGGACGACGCAATAAAAAGTAAGAAAGTGCACGAGATACCAATAAAAGAAAAATTATCAGACAATAAAAAAGTAGTGGTTACCGGATGGTCGCAGTAAATTCATAACGGCGAGGGTCCAAAATCGCCGAATTATAGGTCTGCGACGAGAGCATAAAAATCCACCACGCCTCCCCCTGCGAAATCATGTGCCCGTTATAACACAATGTTAACAAGCGAAGGGACAACAATGATAACGAGTGTGTTTTGAACTGCCGCCGTAAAAAACCTAAAGCACGCGTGTATGTACACCTTTAAACTTTGAAAACGGCGACCGGTCGGCATCCGATGAAGTCAAGTTTTACGGCTGTCGCAGTGAATATATGTCTGCTGGTATTTGAGTTGGCCGCCCAAAACATAACCTCGACACAGTTTTAATGTTCTGTACGTGTGCCGTAACGGTTATAAACTTTTTGTGACAACTGGAAGGAAATAATACATTGTGAATAAAATAATAAAATAGTGTGTCATGAGCAGAATGCATCTAAAAAGCAAAACATGAGTTTATGTGTCGTTAAACTAATTCGAAATCATTGTAATTTACAGTGCTAATTATTATTTATTAAATTTTAGCTAACCATAAAATATTTAGTAAATAAAAAGCTATAATTTTTTTAACCCTTTAAAGAAGTCATTTAAATAGCTCAATATAAAGTAATAATAAAATTGCGCAACTAAAACGTGCCAGTGTATTAAATATGTTGTTTATAAATCATATGTAAACGAAATTAGCGTTAAAGTTCTACAAAAACAAACTGGTTTGCTTTCAGTTCGTATTGTATACGAAGTCAAAATTATATTCTACTGTTACTCGAGGCTTTGTAAAAGGAGTAATGAATAAAAAATGTGCGTTACCCCCACCGACCGACCGTTGGTATGCGTTACGGAATAAAGGGTAGCTTGTCATCATTATTGTACACGAGCACATGCACATGCGAGTAAACGGCCATCACGCCCATTTGCATAGACATAATACATACACGCCAAACTATACAGGTATTGTGCGTGTGTTTAGTAGCTTACACGGTAAAACATTGACTCCGGCAAATCGGGTCATCCGATCCGTCTCAATCGTTTGAGCTATGCACATTTGTCCGCCCCGCGTGGTGGTGTCCCTCGTCCCGTCGCCCGGCCCGTTGATTGATCGCCACGCTTTTATCGGTTGACATCAACGGTAACAGTTCTATTACTTCATTGTGTACTCCGGTGCATTGCACGTAACGTTTTTGGATTTAAAGTGAATTAACGGTTACTTTCAATTTGCCAATCGTTTTTTCTAACGGCGGAACGCAAAAAAATAGCGCCTCGGCAAATCGTTAACGGGTCGTAAAGGGTTAACGATTGGGACGCACTGTACTGAAACACTACATGTCCTGCTATTACTGCTGTCGGCGTTAATTTGTTTTACTGACTTTTGCGTGACCACCCTAATGGTCCACCGTTGGGTACGTCAGTGTTTCAAAGTTTTTGAGTTAATACCCTTTTGCATACTTGGCAAACGCCAACGGCTGTATTATCAACTGCAACGGTATCTTGAAGTACTCTATATACATTTTATTAAATACTCTGCGAGTTATAATTGCGTTTACAACGGTTATTTGTTTGATTATAAAAATGAACGGTATCTTTTTAAAACAAATATAACGTGGTTACACTACAAACGTTGAAACCTAACTAACACAAACTTTTTATGATTTTTAATAATTTTCTCAAAAATAAAAAAAACACTATTTAAACTCGCCGCAAACCTAAAAATATTATTGTCTAGAATTGTTTAGGATTCGTTACACCCGATAATAACATCTGCACCATTCTTGTGTCATTGGTGCTAGGGGCTCTTTAACAGTATGTACAGCCCAATACAATGCCACTCGATATTATGATGGACACAATTATTAATTAAGAATACGATGTCAATCGTCAGACGGGGCGTTATGAATTGCATATTTTTAGGAATAACTATACTCGCACAAGGCTCGACATCATTATTTAACAGTTGTGCAGCAAAGGGTCGGAAGTCGGCACAAATCGTCCGTTTAAGCAGCGGCCAGGGATTTGGGGATACCGTCTGTCAAGTTTGAAAAGATGGAACGGTCCCTTGGGAAACGTTGCCAGAGATTTTTTCTACTACTTTATTTTTCTCTTCATTTCTTCTATACTTCGGATGTAATTCAAAAATAGAAGCTCTTCAGAGATATGAAAAACTTGCAAACCATCGATATCAAATAAGAGATTGGAGTTTACTCAAAATCTAAAAACTTTTAAATTACCTACACTTTTTTTTATCATTTTTCATAAAACAAAACTAACAATAAATANTTTTTTTTTATCATTTTTCATAAAACAAACTAACAATAAATATTTCAAGTTCTACAATAAATCAAAAGGTTTCTTTTCTATTATAATAGCTTATTATACACAAATTAAAATAATAATATACTTAATCATTTATTAATACACTTTTTACAAATAGTTTGTATTGTATTATTTCTTATAGAAATTACTTATAGCAATGATATTCTCAAAATTTGTGTAAAGCTTTTATGGATTTAACTGACGAATAATTTAATTAGAGATAATAAAAATTATTCTAATAAAAAAATTTTTATTTTATTTCAAAAACTTTGTAATTTCATATTTTATTACTTGTACATTACAAGGGCAACCGTAGAAAATTGTTCATGGGCAGATAAAGAATTTTTTTTAAAAATTTTATTTCACTATTCGTTTAGCAGACTCAGCGTTGAAGGTGGAATGCCTATGGTATATAAAGAAATTCATAAAATATTTATAATTTGTGTTCTAAGTTTCCATATATTAATGATAAGTTCAATATATTTTAATATTCAGTTAATTATAAAACAAGTTCAGTAAAAAGTTATTTAAGAATAAA